GGAATCCACTACACATCTACTTTTGAAAATAATACTTATAATTTTTTTTTTATTAATTACCCTAAACAAATTCTAAGGCGATACCCCCGAACCCTCAAGAATTTTAATTTTTTCCACCATAATATTATTTCATAAAAAACAGTCAAAAAAAATTTATTGGTTTCGTCCATGATGATAAAGGTTGTTTTAATGCCAATTTGGCTTCAATCGTGATTTTGACCATTTATTTTTTAAATTTGGCGAAAGCTCAAAACACCGTATTTGTATTGGAAATTGTGTAGTCACGCTATATGATGCTAGGGTTTGCTAGTTATCGATTGTGCATATCGTCCGACAAAAATCAGTTTCGATAACTGCCATTTCGGAACCGAATGCTTTCAGAGAGTAACTAAAGTGAAATCAAGAATGGTGATGCAAATATTGAAGCTTGGATATAATGTTTTTTTGAGTGATGTTGACGTATATTGGTTCAAGAATCCATTGCCCTATCTTACTTATTTCGGTCCCTCGGTTCTTGTGGCACAATCCGATGAATACAATTCGACGGGTATTTTAATAAATTATTTTCGAGATAAATTCATGTGATATTTATATATGTACGCTTTAGAAATAACTGCAATCTTTTTATTAGTATTTGTTTATTCGGAGGACCAATAAACATACATCGACGATTTAACTCCGACTTCTAATATACTCATACAGACAACATAACGATCGCAATATTTGATAAGGTGGTCGAGCATGCAACTAATTCCAACTTCTACGAACAACCGAGTTTTTTACGATATTTTGTGCGGCGAAGGTGGGTCCTACATATTAGGTGATAATCAATGCTTAGAACCCGAAATAAAGTTGTTGGTTTATTTCTTAAATAGAGATCTCTTGCCAAACGGTGCATATCGAGGTTCGTGGGAGGAGATAGATACAAACAAAGCCTGTATCAAAATAAATTGTTTTATTCTCCATAATAATTGGATTAACGGAAGAAAGAAGAAGCTCCAAAGACAAGTTTTATCTGGCCTCTGGGATTATGATATCAATACAAGAATGTGCTTGTAGAGCTACTGGAACAGTAAATAAATAAGCTAGATTCATTAATCAAGTTCAAAGTATTGAAGGTTCTAGAATTCATGAATGTGGAAGAATACATGAATGTGTCTTTTGAAGAGATTCATGTATAATGCTATGGAGGAAGAATATTATTAATTATGTGTTCATGAATTTGCTTAGATACATGCTAGGAAAATCCTATAAATAGTCTATGTAGTTTTTCATTTGGAGTATGTCAAAAACAAGAAGAAGTATTCTAGAGAGAATCAAAAGAGAGTTCTCGAGTGAGTTTATATATTTGTGTTGATTGAGTGAGTAATATAATTTTATCT